GAGAGAGAGAGAGAGAGAGAGAGAGAGAGAGAGAATCCCAAGCAGGCTCCGCGCTGTCAGTGTGGAGCCCAACATGGGGTTTGAACCCACAAATCATGAGACCAGGACCTGAGGCAAAATCAAGAGTCGGATGCTTAACCGACTGCGCCACCCAGGCGCCCCGACAACTTCCAATTTTCTTATTTTTTGCTCCTATTTGCCATCATTTTGCAAAAAATTTTCTTCTACTTCCCGGGCTACTTCCTCCGCTTGACCATCCAAAGCTCACAACTGAGTTTTCAAAATCTCAGCTTCCCAAGAGCCCCTTAGTGATCAGTCCTTGCTCCCTCCTGGTGCCGTCGCTTTCTTCCGGGAAGGCTCATCTGTCTCCACTCTCCAGGGTGGCTCTGGAGGGTCACGATGCGGGTGGGGCTCTGCTGTTTTAGGTTTTCTACTGCTCTGTACATCGCCCTGGATTCCTCCAAGCTCCTTTTTCTGCTGTTGGTTTTTACAGGTCTCTGTCCTTTGTTTTGGAGACTTGAAGACTCGGTGAGTTTGAGTCCAACGGCAGGTAAGAATGATCCAGACGCAGCCACGCGGGGGGCAGGGCCTGCTGATGGGGATTCCTGTGTCTGCGGCGGCAGCCCCACCCGGGGGCTCTCCCAGCTGAGCACGTGCAGATTCTCACGGTCATCTGTGGGGTCAATGTCTCCAGAGGAGATGCCTCTACTCTCTGTCCCGAGGGACCACCTGCATGCCGGGAGCCAAGCAGGAGTGGGGGCGGGGAACCTCCATTTCAAGGGCGTGGCTTTCACGGGACCCTCATTTCCCATAGGGCACCGCAGCTCAGCCTACGCTGTGCTCAGCGTGCCCACATCCACAGCCTCCCCGATCAAGTTCCCCCAAGAAACATGTCTCTGCAACGGCCTCCCGCCGTCTATCCCATCGTGGCTGCCACCCTCTGAGGGGTGCACCCCACGGCCGGAGCCCTTAGGCTGGAACCGGTTTGTGCACCCACGGCCCTCCCGCTGCCGGCACTCGGGCTCTCCCACCAGCTAAGCCAGCGGATGACACTCAACCACCGCACCCGATCACCGGGAATCCGCGGGCACCTGCGACCCCAGGTCTACTCCTTGGTCTGTGGTCTACACCGTGTCTACCCCGGGATCGTCACGCAGCGAGGTCGTAAGAGGAAGCAGAGGAGAGCACGTGCGTTCAACCCACCACCCTCTGTCAAATGCGCCCCGGGTGTCCTGGAGCCGGGAGCATCGACACGTTACAGTGGGACCCGTCCAGAAACAGCAAGAGCCCAGCATCCGAAGCCGCGCCTCACGGAGCTGGCCCAGGCGACCCAGGACCTGGGGCTCCCGCGGGCCCCTCGCCAGCCGTCGGACCCGCTCTCCCGACAGAGGCTGACGTGGCCTCCAGGTCCTCGCTGGGAAAGCACCTGTCCCCATCTGGGAGGTTTCACATACGCCCCATCGGCTCCCGGGAGATGACAGGCGCAGGCCAGTCCCACGCCGGCAACCGGGAGGGGAACCGAGGCGAGAAGCCCGCAGCGGCTCACGCGGGCACCCAGCAGTCACCTCCGTGACAGCGACGGCCGTGCTCAGCGTCCCAGGCGCTGTCGCAGCAACTCAGCCCCGTCCTCGGTGGATTCGCACAAGCCCCCAGGTGGCTTCTGTCATCACACCTCACACACAAAGAGCCAGCTCAGAGGTGAACTGGCCAAGGCCACAGACGCGACACCGTGAGCCCAGAACCCAAAACTGTGACTCTGGAGCTGAGAGCTTCTTCACATGCACCACACGCACACACGTACACACCACACCACACCCAGGAACACGCACAGTGCACACACCCCACGTCCCAACATTCACACGCATCACACACACACACACAAATGACACACACACACCACACACACCCCCACTCTTACCGAGCAAGCAGGCAGCAAGACCAAGGCCTCGAGCCTCACGTTCTCACTTGCAGGCTACGGCTCGAACCCTCAACCCCAGCACAGCAAGGACGGACCGAGGCTGAGGCAGAGGGAGGAGGGGCCGGGAGGCCTCCCCAGCACTGCGGGAGCTCAGCTTCTAGGCGCACAGAGCCCACCAGGCAGAGCATGTGGCTCTTCCCTGAGAGAGAGGCCCCGTCGCCAGGAGGGCCCAGGAAAGTCAGGAGAGGCTCCACTTAAAAAAGCAGCATTTGGGGCGCCTGGGTGGCTCAGTCAGTTAAGCGTCTGACTTC